CCTCACTGTGTCAGTGCAGAACCTTGGTGTATTGTTTGACCCTCAACTATCCTTTCTAGTGCACATCTGTGCCATGACATGCTTTGCCTTCCCCACATCTTCAACATCTCTCAGCTCCACCACTCTCACACTGCAGGCCGCCGAGACCCTCATGCACACATTCATAAGATCCAGGTTTGACTATGCAAACTCCCTGCTTGTTGGCCTCTCCAACTCCTCCCTCCATAGACTGCAGATCATCCAGAACTGTGCAGCCCATGTCCTCTCCTGCACCAGACTCTGCAACCCTATCACACCCATCCTCGCACGACTCCACTGACTTCCCATCACACAGAGGATACAGATCACCATCCTGGTCCTCACCTTCAAAGCCCTCCATGGCTTTGCTATCCCCACCCTCTGCAACCTCCCAAGCCCCTACAAAACTGCCCGCTCAATCCAATCCGCAGACTCTGAACTGCTTCACGTCCCCTGACTCACCTGTCCCACCATTGGAAGCCCAGCCTTCAGCCACTCTGCTCCCACTCTCTGCAGCTCCATCCTCCAGTCCCTCCACCTTACCCTTGACTTCCTTCCTTCAAGACCCATTTCAACAGTTTCCTCTTCAGCCATCCTACATTTCCTGCCCTCCACCCTCCCTTATCCCAACTCCGAGCTCAGGTCCAAATCCCTGAATGTTCAGCGCCTTGGGACATTCTACCAATGTGAAAGGCACTACACAAATGTCATTTTGTTGGGAGGACATCCCAAGCCACTGGACAGTCAGGAATTTTGAGCTGAGCTGGAGAGAGTGGGGGTCATAGTCGTGGAGCCCGGTGCAGGAATGGACACGAGCTGCAGAGTTCTGAATGATCTGCAGCTTGTAGAGGGAAGGGTTGGGAAGGCCGACAAACATGGAGTTGTCATAGTCAAGTCCAGGTGTGACAAATCCATGGATGAGTTTGGCAGCCTAAGGGGAGAGGCAGTGGCAGAGCCAAAGCGAAGAGGAAGGCTGTGCGGGTCATACCACATATGTGCAGTAGAAAGTCAAACAAAAGAGTATCACTGTTACAACTGACATCTGACTATCCCTAATGTGGGGTTGATGTACACGCTTACAGACGGGACATGTTTACGAGTCAATACTTCGCTCTGCAATTATTTCCAAATAGCAAGCACAACATGAATGTGACTTATTTAGATGTTAATGTGATTCTAAGTACGTTTACTGAACATATTTGCACATTGCCCACTTGCAAATATGTTGAAAAATCCTTGAGGCCGCAATGGGCCTGAGGGCCGCAGTTTGTTCAGAGCTGCTGTAAAGTGTGTTGTGTATAGGTTTGTAGGTGAATGTGGATGGGAACAGCTCACAAACAGCCAGAATGACCAATTTTATTTGGGCGATGTTGGGCAGGACACTGGGAAAAACTCCCTTCTCTTTTTGAATTGTGCTATGGCATCTTTAACATCCACCTGAACAGGTAGTTGGGCATTGGTAAAACATCTCATCTCAGGGCGGCATCTGTTACAATGGTCCCGGAGTGTTAGCCTAGTCCAGGGTGGTCGAACCTTTTGGTTGCCTCAGGTCAGACATCAAGTCCTGGATCAGAGCTAACTTTCTTCAGTTGAATGTCAACAAGACCAAGACCCTCTTTATTGGCTCCCGTCAGTGCCTCCACATCTCAGACTCTGACAGCATCACTCATCCAGGGATGCACACTCAACTTTATTAAGATAGTCCGGAACCTTGGAAACTTGTTTGACCCTCAACTATCTTTTCTAGCCCACATCTGTGCCATGACCCGCTTTGCCTTCCCCACCTCCACAACATCGCCCGGCTCCGCCACTGTCTGACACCGCAGGCCACCAAAACCCTCATACATGCATTCATAACATTGAGGCTTGACTTTGCAAATTCCTTGCTTGTCAGCCTCTCCAACTACTCCCTCCATAGGCTGCAGATCATCCAGAACTCTGCAGCCCGTGTACTCTCCTGCACCAGGCTCCATGACCCTATCACCCCCATTCTTGTCCAACTCCACTGACATCCCATTACTCAGAGGATACAGCTCAACATCCTACTCCTCACCTTGAAAGCCCTCAATGGCCCTGCTCCCCCCTTACCTCTGTGACGTCCTAAACCCCTACCATCTTGCCTGCTCCCCACGCTCAACGGGCTCTGGCCTGCTTAACGTTTCCCACCTCACCCGCCCCACAATTGGTGGGCCTTCTGTCACTTTGCCCCTACAGTTTGGAACTCCACCCCCATTCCCTCTGCCTCGCCCCCTCCTTTGCCTTCTTCAAGAACAATCTCAAGAACCTGCCTAACACCGCCCTCCACCTTCCACAATCCCAACCCCCAGTTCAGATCTGAAACAACAACTGACCAGTGCCTTGGGATGTCCTCCCAATGTGAAAGTCGCTATACAATGTAATTTTGTTGTTGTTGTTGTTGTTTATCTGGCCCGAGATCAACATTCCATCTTCAGCTCTGGAAATCCCAAAGTGCTGAACAGTCAGGATTTGCACCTGTGCTGTAGGTTGGGATCAGGAGGTTTGGAGAGAAAGGGTGTAGGAGGGTTTGGGTAGGAGGGTGACCAAAGGAATGGTGAAACAGAGGGTCTTGAGATGGGCCTTGAAAGAGACAAGGAAGGAAGTGAGATGAAGGGACTATTGAATGGAGTTCTAACATGATGGATAAGAGAGTGTCTATGAATGTCATTTATGTGGACTTCCAGAGGCAATTGATAAAGTTTTGCACAAGAAGTTATCAGCAAAAATGAAAGTGCATGGAATCGGAGGTAACATTGTGAAGTGGATTGGTAAGTGGTTGGGAGGCAGGAAACGAGAGTAGGGATAAAAGGAACGTTCTCTGATTGGCGGAACATGACAAGGAGTGTATACTGTAATGTGCAGTTACTGCGTATTTTGCAGGTTAACTGGCTAACAATTTGCAAATATTAAAGAGCCACAAAATTATTGACCAAATTTTTATTTTTATTTTTATTTGGAGAATTGTTAGCCAGGACACAAGGAGGAACCCCCTTCCCTCGTGTGTATTGTACACAAGGACACTCCCAGCCTGTAAACAAGTGGGTGGTATTGTACAAATTTGGATGAATTATCCTGATGTTAAAAAAGGACAATGATAGAGGAGGTAGAGCTAAGCTACACTTTGTTCAGTCAGAATCGCTCATCATGTGTGCTTGATTCAAGCCGGTGAGAACCAGGACATTGCTTCCACTTTGTGACTCAGCCACTCCACCTCAACTGTTCAAAGTTCCAGCAATGTCGGAAAAAGCAAAAGAGAAGAACAGACGACAATAGGACAGGAATACAGCTGAAACACAACATTTTTTTTATCCAACGCCTTCTATTGTCAACGTTTCCAGTCCAGAGAACTGAGAAGCAAGATGTTTGCCTTCTGTTTTTGAATATTGGGCTTGTCATCACAGTGACATCGCTACACAGGAGCAACACAGCCAACATTGTTTGTTGTATCCCTGCCTACTGTAACTATGATTATTGAACCAATGTGAAATTATAGGTCTTTCTGCCTTAATAAGTGAACAAGCTTGAAACCATAAAATACAGGTGACTATGGTTCCTCTGTTCACGGGTTCCTAATTTTAAATTCTTCTAAATAGAATAAACCGCTGACATTATCACTATTCATGTCTTCACATACATGTTCACCTCTTCACCGCACCAAGCCAATACAAAACCTTGGTGTTCTTTTCGACACGCACCCATCCTTCAAAACCCACATATATGCCATAAGCCATTGCACCTTTCCCCACCTCTGTAACATTGCCCACCTCCGCCACTGCCTCTCACCACAGGTGATTGAGATCCTGATCCACGCGTTCATTACTTCCCAGCATGACTACGCCAACTGCCAGCTCACTGGACTTGCCAACTCTTCCCTCTACAAGCTGCATGGTATTCAAAACTGCAGCTCGTGTCATCTCCTGCACCTGGACTCCGGAAACCTATCAACCCAATCTTGCTGCCCGGCTTCACTGGCTCCCCATTCCTCAGAGAATCAAGTACAAAACCCTCGTTCTCATGCTCAAAGCCCTCCACGGTCTTGCTCCCCCTTACCTCTCCCACCTCCTAACCCCATATCAGCCTGTCCACTGCCTCCACTTGGCGGACACCGGCCTGCTTCAGGTCCCCCGCACTTCCTGCCCCACCATTGGTGGTTGGGCATTCAGCATCTCTGCTCCCACACTCTCAAACTTTATCCCGCAATCCCTCCACCTCCCCCCTCTCTTGCCTCCTTGAAGTCCTGTCTCAAGATGTGGAGTCCCGTAGCTCAGTGGTTAGAGCACTCACTTTGCAAGTGAGAGACCTGAGTTCAATTCCAGGCAGGTTAGGGTGAAACCTTGGGCAAGTTTCCTTACTCCACACAGAGCCTAATAATAATCCCTCCAAAACCAAAAACAATAAGAAATTGGTCATTTTCAATCTACGACTGTTTGTGGGACATTGCTGTGCGCAATCGGCTGCCGCGTTCACCCACAAATATACAGTCAATTCACTTTACAGTATGTTCTGTGAAGCGCTTTGGGACATCCTCCCGACGTGAAAAGGATATCAAATGCAAGGATTATTATTATTATTATTATTATTATCTAACTCTTCAACCATGACTTTTTTTTTAAAAAGAATTTATTACCCTCGAAAAAGCAAACCGCCAATTGACTACCAACTGGTTTCCTGCTTACTGCTATATAAACAGAGGTGTATGGAGAAAGAAAACTTGCTCAACAATTCTCCCTGCCAGGAATCAAACCCAGGTGTCTGCCTTGAGGGGTGAGCGCTCTAACCACTAAGCTGCAGGACTCCACTCTATCACATTACTCACACACCCCACCTCCAGAGCATGAAAGAGATAAGAATTGTTGGCCTTATGCCAGCTGTTTCCAATAAAAATTATTTTCTTGAGAATTACACTTCCTTGAGGGTCCGGCAATTCTTTGGAAATCAAACAATCTGCTCAGACGTCAATCTCCCGCCAATCCACCGGAGGACTTGCAGTTGCCTCCCCCTGAGCAGCTCCATATAAACTGGGCTTTACCCCATCACACAAACCAGAACTTCCTCACCTCACACTCCACAGCTGCCGATCTTCTACCAGATCCACACAAACAACTGTTTGTGACAACAAACTGCTCAGAACACACACGTAAGTACATCTCCAGAGCTCGGCATGCCGGTCGCACAGTGTAGCGGAACTTTACTCTGTATCTAACCCAGACCTGGGATTGCAGGTCAGGTTAGAGCAGTGTTGGCCAACCTGTCAAGAAACGGCCCCCGAACATTTGCACAAGCCTCGGTAAGTCTGTGTTTATCAGTCGTGTGTTTTTAGTTTCATCTCAATTGAATATTTCTTGATTTAAAGCACAAGAAATATTTAATTAAGAAAATATATTTTGTTGTCCGACCATAAAGGTTGGCCACCACTGGTGCATTACTCTGTCCTGGACTTCTTCCTTTCATAGGAACATAGTAATTGCTGATGAAAAAAGACCAAGGTCCATCTAATTCATCCCGTTAATTAATTCATCCATGTGCTAGAATAATGCAGATCTCAGTCACTGATCTCACAGTGCGGGACGGGCAGTGTAGTATGAGCTTTGCTCAGTTTATAGCCAGTGCTGTTGCTAACATAGGAATAGGAGTAGGCCATTTAGCTCCTTGAGCCTATTCTGCCATTCTGTTAGGTCATGGCTGATCTGTACCTGTGAGTACTGGATGGATAGGGTAAAGGGAGCTTTGCTCTGTGGCATAGTCCAGGCTAATACCTCAGTGCGATGCTGGTGGTGTGCTCCATTGTTAGTGGTGCCATCCTTTTAATGAAACATTAAACCAATGACTATTATTTGTCAATCCACAACACAGTTCAGATTTAACAGCTCCTTTATTTCAGCCGTACATTTCAACTCTCTTCAACACTCTGCCCGATCTCTTTCCCAGAATCCTTTTATGCTTCCTGCTTGCTTCTCGTTGGTCTCAGAACCCCCTTCTCTCCCCACCGCTCGCAGACACAGTCAACTGGTCTCTCTCCTCAGGCTCTGTTCCACTCCCCCTGATAACCAGGGCTCCCTCTGCCTCCTCCTCCTCCTTGGTCTCTCTGCCTCAATTGACAACCACTCTATCCTCCTCCATCATCTCTCCAATCTCATCGACCTTAGTGGGACTGCACTCATATGGTTTGGGTCTTACCTAACCAACTGCCTCCATTTCATCTCAGCCAATGGTTTCTCCTCCTGCCCGGTCACCTGAGTGCACCCCAGGGCTCCATCCTTGTCCCTCTTCTTTTCCTTGTCTATATGCTCCCTCTGGGTGATGTCATCCGCATCCGTAATCTTTCACATGTATGCAGATCACACGCAAATCTACTTTGCCTCCTCCAGTGCAAACTCCAGGTCTGCTGATGTTCTATCAGACTGTCTGGCAGACATCAAGGCCTGGATGAGTGTAAACTTCCCGCTCGCAGTCTTGTCCCAAAGTGCTTGCGACTAGCCAAGACAGGAGGTTTTTAGACTCCGACCTCATCCCCCCCACCCACACACACACACGCGCACACACACACACACACACACACACACACGGTCCCAGCCTCACCCCAACCTCAGGTTACACACTCAGAACTGTGGGAGATGGCACTGGGGCCAAAAGCAGTTGAAAAGGGTATCAGATTACAGAGCAGCTTCTAATCCTTTCCCTCATGGAGCCTTTTATTAGATATATTACGTGGATCCTGTAGCTCGGTGGCTGGAGCCCTCGCCTCACAAGCGAGAGACCTGGGTTCAATTCCTGCCAGGGCGAAACCTTAGGCAATTTCCTTACTCCACACTGTTTACCAGCGGTGAGTAGGAACCCGGTTGTTAGTCAATTAGCAGATGGCTTTCCGGGAGTAACAACCCCCTCATTTGACACAGGGCTGTGTCACGTCTTCAAGACGTTTCAAAGCACTTCACAGAATATACTATCATAACATAATTATAAATGAATAATATAATTAATAATATAATTAATTATAAAATTAATCGACTGTATTTTTGTGGGCAAAACAATGATTGAAGTGTGTCTCATATGCCACCACCTCCCCCACCCCCCCCCCCCCCCCCCCCCCCCCCCCCCCCCCCCCCCCCACACACACACACACACACATGAGTTGCTGAATGGCTAATTGACACCTACTGTTTACAGAAAACACTGAGTTGCCCTGGAGAGGGTGAAGCTGTTGTTAATGTGACTGACTGAATCAGCTTTGTCTCCCCGCACTCAGAGATGGGTGTGAGAAGCACTTGACATAAGAACATAAGAATTAGGAGCAACAGTAGGCCATTCAGCCCCTCTAGCCTGCCCCGCCATTCAATAAGATCATGGCTGATCTATTCTAACTCTACCTTCCCGCCTTATCCCCATATCCCTTAATCCCTTCATCCACAAGAAATCTATCAATCTCAGTCTTGAATATGTTCAAGGACTGAGCATCTACAGCCCTTTGGGGTAGAGAATTCTATAAATTCACTACCCTCTGAGTGAAGAAGTTTTTCCTCAACTCAGTGCGAAAGGGTTTACCCCTAATTTTAAGACTGTGACCCCTGGTTATAAGTTTCTCCAACCAGGGGAAAAAGTCTCCCACTATCTATTCTGTTGTGTCCCTTAATAATCTTATAGGTTTCTATAAAATCAGCTCTCATTCTTCTATATTCCAGAGAATATAGGCCTAAATTGCTCAACCCATCCTCATAACTCATCCCCCTCATCCCTGGTACCAACCCAGTGAATCTACATGGTACCCCCTCCAAGGCGAGTACATCCTTTCTTAAATAAGGAGATCAAAACTGTGCACAATACTCTAGGTGGGGTCTCACCAGGGCCCTATACAGTTGCAGCAAGACTTCCCTACTCTTATATTCTAACCCTTTTGTAATAATTGCCAACAACAACAACAAGATTTCATTTTATAGAGCGCCTTTCACGTAGGGAGGACGTCCCAAGGCGCTTACATACCGTTAGCCTTCCTGATTGCTTGCTGTACCTGCAAATTAACTTTTTGTGACTGGTGTACAAGGACACCCAAGTCCCTCTGAACGCTAACACTATCTAGTCTCTCCCCTTCCAAAAAATAATCTGCTGTACTGTTTTTGCTACCTAGGTGGATGACTTCACACTTCCCTACATTATACTTCATCTGCCACCTATTTGCCCACTCACCTTGCCTACCTCTATCTTGTTGCACTTTTTAAATGTCATCCTCGGTGTTTACTCTCCCTCCTAGTTTGGATATATTAAGTTCGATGTCCTCATCTGGATCGTTGATATAGTTGAGGCCCGAGCACTGATCCTTGTGGCACTCCACTAGTCACATCCCGCCAATCTGAGAAGGATCTGCTTATCCTTACTCTTTGTTTTCTTCCCGTTAGCCATTCTTCAATCCATGCTAATATATTCCCCTTAATTCCATGGACCCTAATTTTGTGGATCAACCTTTTATGTGGCACTTTATCGAATGCCTTTTGGAAATCTAAACACACTACATTCACTGATCCCCCCCTATCTAATCTACTGGATATGTCCTCAAAAAAATCTGAAAGATTTTTTAAGCACGACTTCCCTTTTGTAAAGCCACGTTGACTCTGTCTAATCATATTGTGATCCTCTAACTATCCCACTACGACATCCTTAATTAAGGATTCTAGAATTTTCCCTACCACCGATGTCAGACTAACTGGTCTATAGTTCCCCATCTTTTCTCTCCCACTCTTCTTAAATTGTGGTGTGACGTTTGCGATCCTCCAATCAATGGGAACCGTTCCAGAATCCAAAGAATTTTGGAAGATCAGACCCAAGGCCTCCACTATATCATGAGTTACCTCTTTTAAAATCCTAGGATGCAAACCATCAGGTCCAGGGGACTTGAAACCTTTTAATGCCAACAATTTCCCTCACACCAATTCTTTGCTAATGTAAATTTCCCTAAGTTGCCCCTATCATTAGCCCTTTGGTTCATCTCTATTTCTGGTAAACTTCTTGTGTCTTCTAACGTGAAGACAGAAGCAAAGTATTTATTTAGGGACTCTGCCATATCCTTATCCCCCATTATAATTCCTCCTGTCTCTGCCTGTAATGGACCCACATTTACTTTTGCTCTCCTATTCCTCTTAATGTATTTATAAAAACTCTTACAATCTGTCTACTGTTCCTAGCAGTTTGCCCTCATAATCCATTTTCTCACTCTTAATGAGCTTTTTGATTTTGCTTTGTTGGTCCCTAAGACACTCCCAGTCCTAAGGTGTGTTACTCTTTTTGTGTTACTGTGTGTCACCCTGGCTCAGTCACTGTGTGTTAGCCTGGCTCAGTCACTGTGTGTTAGCCTGGCTCAGTCACTGTGTGTCAGTCTGGCTCAGTCACTGTGTGTCAGTCTGGCTCAGTCACTGTGTGTCAGCCTGGCTCAGTCACTGTGTGTCAGTCTGGCTCAGTCACTGTGTGTCAGTCTGGCTCAGTCACTGTGTGTCAGTCTGGCTCAGTCACTGTGTGTCAGTCTGGCTCATTCACTGTGTGTCAGCCTGGCTCAGTCGCTGAGTGTCAGTCTGGCTCAGTCGCTGTGTGTCAGCCTGGCTCAGTCACTGTGCATCAGCCTGGCTCAGTCACTGTGTGTCAGCCTGGCTCAGCCACTGTGGTCACCCTGGCTCAGTCACTGTGTGTTAGCCTGGCTCAGTCACTGTGTGTCAGCCTGGCTCAGTCACTGTGTGTCAGCCTGGCTCAGTCACTGTGTGTTAGCCTGGCTCAGTCACTGTGTGTCAGCCTGGCTCAGTCACTGTGTGTCAGCCTGGCTCAGTCACTGTGTGTTAGCCTGGCTCAGCCACTGTGGTCACCCTGGCTCAGTCACTGTGTGTTAGCCTGGCTCAGTCACTGTGTGTCAGCCTGGCTCAGTCACTGTGTGTCAGCCTGGCTCAGTCACTGTGTGTTAGCCTGGCTCAGTCACTGTGTATCAGTCTGGCTCAGTCACTGTGTGTCAGCCTGGCTCAGTCACTGTGTGTCAGCCTGGCTCAGTCACTGTGTATCAGCCTGGCTCAGTCACTGTGTGTCATCCTGGCTCAGTCACTGAGGTCATCCTGGCTCAGTCACTGTGTGTCATCCTGGCTCAGTCACTGTGGTCACCCTGGCTCA